CCGTTGCCGGACAAAAAAAAAAAAAAAAAAAAAAAAAAAAAAAAATTAAATCAAGAAGTGATGGACTCTATTTTAAAAAGAGCAAGAACTGGGATAGGATGGGAGACTGTTTTAGACAAGGTGGTCAGTTTGAATAGACACTGAATTAAACAATATAAGGCTGAATAAGTGAATACACAGATACATATACACGCATTTATCCTACAATTTGAAAACAACATTTTGGCACAGTTCCTGACATACTTTCACCAGTTAAATTTGAAAAAGGTGTCCCCCACCCCCCAATGATAATACCTAATACCTTATAACTTTGTAATGCTTATATTTGAGCAATGCTACTTCCCAGGATATCCTTGAAAATAAATTATTTTCCAAGTGTACACCAGTGTAAGGGAATGAGCCACATTGCTATGAAGTATTATTATTTAGAAGCCAATTTAAAAATTGAGACATGGGGGCCGGCCCGGTGGCGCACTGGATAAGTGCACCGCTTGGGAAGCGCGGCGGCGCTCCCGCCCGAGGGTTCANTAAATAAATAAATAAATAAATAAATAAATAAAAATTGAGACATGTATTCCAGTATTTAATGCTGACAGTGCAGTGAGGGAGGTATTCATATGCTACCAGTAAGTGTATATGGAAGGAAATTTGGTAATATGTATCAGAAGGCTTACAAATGTCTTCCCTAAAAAAAAGTAAAAATAAATAAAAATAAAATGTAATCATGTAACAAGTTGAAAGAAAAAAAAAATCCTTCCTTTTGCCTAATCACCCACTTTTTGTGATCTACTATAAGAAAATCATATAAAGAACAAAACGTATACGGTAACATTTATAAAATAAAACAATTACAAATCACATAAATACTATATTCATGTGATATGACACTAAGTTACCATTTCAAAAAGTTATTTTATTTTTATTTTTTTTCCTTTTTGTCTTTTTTCGTGTCCGGCAACGGATCGCAACCCTCAGTGTCGCGCCCGCACCGGGCCGGGACCGGCAATGGGATCGCAACCCTCA